TATAGAGTTGCTTGGCACTTGCCTTCTTCGTGGGAGGAGGTCAAAGCCCAATTCAGCTTCTTCCGAAGCTGGATTACGCCAACCTCACACTCCCTCTAGGGCGCTGCTGCCTGCTTGTCCCCCCCCCTCGCTGGGGAGTGATGCGTTGGGCTGTGTATTGCCCAAACTGTCAAAAGTGGCCGTCGCTCGCTTCGCACGATCGCGAAACGCTTCAGTCCTCCATCTTAGTCAAGGGACTTTTGACCTCTAATGCGGTCCTGTCCCATTTTGACAAGACGTTGCGGGTGGTGCTTCCCTGCAGTGCATCTCCCTATGGTGTGGGGGCAGTTTTGGGCCATCGCCTGGTGGACAGCCGTGAAGTCCCTGTCATATACTATTCCAGGACCTTGTTGGCTGCGGAGCGTATCTACGTGCAGATCGACAAGGAAGCGCTGGCTATGGTAGCGGGGGTGAAGAAATTTCATCATTATTTATATGGCTGGCCCTTCACCATCATGACGGATCACAAGCCCCTTCTGGGCCTCCTGGGCCCCGACCGCCCGTCCCTGCAAATGGTTTCCCCACGAGTGCTCCGCTGGTTGATATTCCTGCCCAGGTACTCTTATGTCCTGGTTCACCAGCCAGGTAAAGCGATGGGTCATGCTGATGCATGAGCCGCCTTCCCCTGCTCATCACAGACCCTGCCCCGGTGCATCAGGTCGCTCTCCTGGAAACGCTTCTGGAGCGGCCGGTACATGTGCGAGAGGTGGTGCGGCACAGTGCCCGGGACCAGGTCCTCTGTCGGGTTCTGGACTGGGTGGGGAGGGGATGGCCCTCGGGCCAAGGGGGAGCCAAATTTAGCTTTTTCCTCCCGCAAGGACGAACTGTCGTCCCACAAGAGCTGTCTGATGTGGGGAGGTCAGGTGGTGATTCTGGTGCCCCTGCAAAGTCGGGTCCTCACAGCGCTCCATGAAACCCACCTGGGGGTCATCCGGATGAAGGCGCTGGCAAGAAGTTATGTCTGGTGGCTGGGACTAGACTAAGGATACTGTCAAGCGATGCATGAAATGCCAGGAGACACAGCCCGCACCCCCCAGTGCTCCGGTATAACCCTGGGAATCGGCCCACAGGCCCTTGGGCCAGGTTGCACCTGGATTTTGCTGGGGTGTTCCAGGGCCAGCTGTTGTTTATCCTCGTGGACTCATATAGCAAATGGCTGGAGGTGGTCCCAGTTCCATCCACCTCCTCAGGGGCTGCCATCCAGGCCATGTGGAAGATCTTCAGCGCTCAAGGCATCCCGGACTCCTTGGTCACCAACAACAGCTCGGCTTTCACCTCAGAAGAATGAGCTGAAATCACTACATCAGTCTCAGTACTTTTCAGTCATACAACAGTACATACTACAAACACTACAATAAAACTGCTTTCATTTTTTTCCAGATGTTGAAACTACAGCCTTATTCCATTGATAAAAAAGCTCTCTTGAACAATTCCATTTTACACCTTCTACAGAAGGATATGAGGGTGGAGTAGGGTTGCTGACTCTGACTTAGAGGTGGAGCTTGGGGAAGGGAGGGAGCTCAATGGAGATGTGGTGCCATCGAGTCTATCTTCTGAAGCTGCCATTTCCTCCGGGGAAACTGTGGCCTCTGTAGTCTGGAGATCAGTTGTGATACCAGGAGAACTCCAGGCCCCACGTGAAAGATGGCAACCCTAGTGTGAGAGCCTTCTAGACCCTTGTCATATAGCCCACTCTACTAAGCAGGCTCCACAACGGGGTATGGGCAGGTATTGATCTTACGCATTTTCAGTGCAGCTCCTTGAAAATGCATTACTCAGATGAGTGAAACTGTTGCAGACAAACATCAGGAGAAGCGGGCCTGCAAATACATGGGTCCCAGTCCCAAAGGACTTTATAGGCAATAACCAGCACCTGGAAACTGATCAGTAACCAATGGAATGAGTGCACTTACTGCAGCATCCTGAGGGCTCAAAGCAGATGGCACCAACTTCCCATGGCTGGCAGAGGGGCAGCATCCACAAGGGGTCAGGCAGAAGACTGAAGTGGTGGTGGTAGGGCAGAGCATCCCACTGCTGCATTGGGCTGTGCAGTTCTTGTTTCAGGCTGCAGCAGACAGCCTTGCCACAGAGACTGGAAGAGAAGAGAGACTATATAGGCTGGATAGGCCAGAATGGCCACTAAAATGGACTCTGGGCTAATGGGGCTGAGAGAGCTGGCTTGGGGGAAGGTGGGGGCTGAGGTGGGGGAGGCCATTGGAGGATGCCTCCACACCCCCACAGGGCATTGAGGAACTATGGGGTTGGCTCACCTAAGCAGGCCAGGTGAAGGTTGGGGAGGAAAAATCAGACTTCTTCTGCTCTGTTGGGGGAGAGCTGGGTGGTTGGAGAGAGAGGGGCAAGGTTGCAGCTAAGCCTCCTCCTCTCTTTAATCTGAGAGCTTCACCAAAGCCTAGGGTTGCCATTCCCCAGTTGTGGTTTTTTTGCTGTAAGCAGATGCAGAATTTATTTATTTTTTTACAAAGTTATGATTTTCCATTACAAAAAAAGATAACAATATTTATAATTTTCATTACAAAACCACAACAAGAAAGTAAGCATAAAAATAAAATCCAAATAGAAAAGTAACAATATTTTGTATATGAAATATATTTATGGAGTTACGCATCCCCCCCCAACCATTTATTAACTCTAAACCATCTTTTTTGAAAAGCCTTATCCTCTTTACTTGAAAGAATCATGTTCAACTAGTCCATTTCTGCCACATCACAGATTTTTATAATCAACTCCTCTCTAGGAGGTAGGTTTTCAGATTTCCAACACTTGGCAACCAATATCCTGGCTGCAGTAAGGATATATGATAAAATACATAGTTCATCATACCTATATCCATCTGGTATTATATTAAGTAAATAGATTTCTGGTACTAGCTGCAAATAATTAAATAAATAAAATAAACATCATTGGAAATAAACACGACGTGCTTATGTCACCTAGAAGTGAAGTAGGCACATTGGGGGCAACGCTCTGGTTTTTGGGTAAAACTCTATGGTTTGAGGCTGATTTTATCATAGAGTTTTGCCCAAAAACCAGAGCATCGCCCCTGATGTGTCTGTCACTTTCAAGTGGCATAGGCACATTGCACGACGTTACTTCCTGCTCCCCCCGCCAGCATTTCCGATGGACCTGGCAACCTTACCGAGGCCTGGCTGACAAAAAGTGGGTCCTGAAGGGCATGGCAGCCCTGGTCCCTATCCCAGGGAGGGAGGAGCCAGACACTCCATCTAGCTCCTGATAGTAATGAAGTTGTAGCGTTCATTTAATTGTTTAGAGAGCCTATGTGGTGTAGTGGTTAGAGTGCTGGACTAGGATCTGGGAGGCCCAAGTTCAGATCCCCTCTGTGCAGTGGAAGCTCACTGGGCGCCCTTGGACCAGTCACATGCTCTCAGCCTAAGCTATCCCCTGCTGTGTTGTTGTGAGGATAAAATGGAGGAGAGGTGAACAATGTAAGCTGTTTTGGGTCCACACAGGGGAGAAATGCAGGGTATAGATGAAGTAAACAGATTAAAATCAATAGAATGATAGCTAGTGTACAGAACCAGAGAGCTGAGCTGGCTAGAAATACAGGTTACCTGCTGTATGATATGTAAAAAGGGGCTGTCTGGGTGATATTCCCCCACCTTCCATAAGGAACGTTATATCTAGGTAGTAGTTAAGTCTCTCTCATGGATCACTGCCTTGACGTGGTGAGGGGGCTTGCGTGGTTTGATGAGGCTGTGGGCTATGTTGTGGAGGGCCACCCAGGATGGACAGGCCACAGTGGAGAACTCAGACAAAACGTGATCCACTGGAGAAGGAAACGGCAACCCACTCCAGTACCTTTGCCAAAAAAAACCTTATGGAAATTAACAAAAGGCTAAAAAAATATGATGCTGGAAGATGAGCCCCTCAGGTCGGAAGGTGTCCAATATGCTACTGGGGAAGAGCAGAGGGCAAGTACAAGTAACCCCAGAAAGAGTGAAGTGGCTGGGACAAAGCTGAAAGGATACTAAGCTGTGGCTGTGTCTAATGGTGAAAGGAAAGTCAGATGCTGCAAAGAACAATACTGCATAGGAACCTGGAATGTAAGATCTATGAATCAAGGTAAGCTTGACGTGGTCAAAAATGAGATGGCAAGACTGAACATCGACATCTTAGGAATCAGTGAACTAAAGTGGATGGGAATAGGCGAATTTAACTCAGAAGACCATTATATCTACTGCTGTGGCCAAGAATCCTGTAGAAAAAAATGGTGTGGCCTTTATAGTCAACAAGAGAGTGAGAAAGGCAGTAATGGGATACAATCTCAAAAATGACAGAATGATCTCGGTCCGAATCCAAAGCATCACAGTAATCCAAGTCTATGCTCCAACCACTGAGGCAGACGAGGCTGAAATGGACCGGTTCTATGAAGACCTACAACGCCTCCTAGAACTAACATCAAAAAAGATGTCCTTATCATCATAGGGGACTGGAATGCAAACATAGGATGTCAAAAGGTAACCGGAATAATTGACAAGTTTGGCCTCGGAGAACAAAATGAAGCCGGGCAAAGGCTAACAGAGTTTTGTCAAGAAAATACACAAACACCCTCTTCCAACAACCTAAGAAGTTACTCTACACATGGACATCACCAGATGTGCAACACCGAAATCACTGATTGATTATATCATTTGCAGCCAAAGATGGAGAAGCTCTATACAGTCACTAAAAACAAGACCTGGAGCTGACTGTGGCTCAGATCATGAGCAACTCATTGCATTCCAACTGAAGAAAGTTGGGAAAACCACTAGGCTATTCAGGTTTGACCTAGATCCCATCCCTGGTGAATATACAGTGGAGGTGAAGGACTGTAGGTCCTACAGTGTTCAATTGATTAACTAACGTCTACGCAGTCATTTCTAGAACAGCATTTGACTATGTAGGTCAATTTCTGCCTCCTATAAATGCAAAGTTACCACTATTCAAACACAGAAGACAGACAGCCAAGCAGTGTCATTGAAAAACTTGTCATTAATTATTTCATTTAACATATCCTGCCTTTCAGCCTAAATAAATTTCCGAGACAGCTAACAATGATAATCCCAATGATAACAATTTGACTGACACTGTGATCGGTACAGAAAGCTCAGCATAAAGAACAAATCTTCATCGTACAAAAAAAGGATTACCTAAATAAATTCACAACACACACCAATATGACTATTACATAACAAATTAACAATACCTTTTCATTGAAATGAATTTCAACGAATTTTCCAAAGCGACTACTATTGTTGTTACGAACAGTCTTTGCATTTCCAAAAGCTTCTAAAAGTGGATTGGCTATTGAAGAAAAAAGAAAAGGAAACTGTAAGTTCAATTCTAGACAGCAAAGGGGGGGGGGAGTCTTGAACACAGATAAGAAAAAAATGAGCAAATATATTAATAACCCTGTTCTTTTTGAGAGTAGGGGACATTTCAGCTGAACACAGTGATTTCAGATCACTGGTCTGTTCTTACACACCATGACACTGCTGAGGTCAAATGTTAGAAATCAGGAAGAGTCTAAAAAAGCAGTACTGGTAATTATTTGACTGCAACATCTGACTAAAAAAGAAAACATTTCATAAGACATAAGAACAGCCCTGATAGATCAGAGTAGTGGCCTACCTAGTCCAGCATCTTGCCTCACACAGTGGCTAACCAGTAACTCTGGAGTGCCAACAACAGGAAGAAACTGAGGCCTTCACCTGATGTTGCATCCTGACACTGGTACTCAGCGGTTAACTTTACAAAGGTTTTATTTCCATAGCATTTGCATGAAACAAATTCTTCATGTCTATTCCCATGACTTCCATCTACCTCATAATTTTTTTTAAAAAGGAGTATAAAATATAAAGTCCCATATATCAAGTGATCCAACATTTATACGGAAAGTCTTTTTATTTGCTTAGTACAACACAGTACCTTCTACAATTCTGTCATCAATATCCTGCCCGCTACCATAGGATTCAGTCAAATACCTGTAAAAAATATATACAGCCTGTTATATTTTACAGCTACTCCTTTTCCTAGACACTGCTTTGCTTAAAATGGAAGGCATTTCAACACAATAATTTTGTGTATGCAATACAAGGAGCAAGAGTGTTTGCATGCACATACAAGTACATGGTGAACAGTTTGTTAAAAATTAGCAATTTTTATGCTGCTTTGTTTTATCATGTTTTATTTTGTAAGCACCTTCAAACATGTACACTGGAGACGTGAGAAAGAAATCTTCTAAATAAAGTACATATCTGTATGCACATTTAGAAAGGTAAAAAGGTCAGATAGTCTAAGACAGTGGTAGTCTAAGGCAGTGGTACTCACCCCGTGGCTCACAAAGTGCCACATTCACAATTAGGTAAAGGTAAAGGTTTCCCTTGCTCGAAAGGCAGTTGAATCTGACTCTAGGGTTGTGGTGCTCATCTCCGTTTCCAAGCCGAAGAGCCTGCACTGTCCAAAGACGTTTCCGTGGTCATGTGGCCGGCATGACTAAATGCCAAGGCGCATGGAACGCGTTACCTTCCCACCGAAGCGGTACCAATTTCTTGCTTTCAAACTGCTAGGTTGGCAGGAGCTGGAACCAGGGACGGGAGCTCACTCCATCATGCGGCACTCGGCTCTCAAACTGCTGAACTACCAACCTTCCAGCCTGCAGTTCAGCATCTTAACCACCTGAGCCACCACAGCTCCATACATTCACAATTACCAGTGACCAAAAAACTCCATATGGCTACTGCATGCTCTGTTCACTAACCAAACACTGCGTATTTCCATGTGTGTTAGTTCTGTCCATTGTGTGCCCATACAGCATTGGTATCTTTTCTTTTCTGCACCTGCTTTGCTCCCTCTAGTGGTCATTTGATCTTTCTTTGCTATTTCTCTACGTTTTTAAAGAGCACTTTAAAATACAAAAGATGAGGAACAGGTTGTTAAAAATTAACAAAAAATAATGCATGGTTTTTTTGTTTTCCCTTTTTCTTTTTGCATGATTGCATGGGCCCAGAATATTGGGCGTAATATTAACTTTGAGGAGTGGGAGCAGATTTGGTTGAAAAACATTAAACTGACTAATGCTGTCTCATATAAAGAGAATAGGTATAAGATGTTTTATAGATGGTATATTACACCAGATAGATTAGCGAAACAAAACGCTACTAGCTCAGAAAAATGTTGGAAATGTAAGAATAAGACTGGTTCATTCTATCATATGTGGTGGCTATGTGATGTTACAAAAAAGTTTTGGAGATGGGTACATGAAATAATGCAAAAAATTATAAGAACTAAGGTCCCATTTACTCCAGAGATATTGCTATTGAATATATTTCCGAAAGATTTTGATAAAGCAGATAGGTATTTGATTGTTTATTTGTTAACAGCTGCAAGGATCTTATATGATAAATATTGGAAAACAATGGAGACTCCAACGAAACAAGAATATGTGAATAAGCTGTTTGAAATGGCTGAGAATGATAAATTGCCGTTGGAAATGAGAGCTGGAACGGAACGGACTTTTCAAAAAACTTGGAAGAGATTTTATGACTGGTATAATATAAGCGTAACAACCTGATGGAATTTGAGTACGCAGATACGATAAGCTAGCAAAATGGATAATGAGATCTGAAATGTAATAATTAGATAATTGAAGGTTAGAAGATGGAATATGCCTCCTGATATATGTTTTATGTTTTTAGTGGTAGTTTTATGTTGTTGGTTTCTATATATGTTTGTAGTGTATAATGGAAAACAATAAAAGTGTACCCTTGGGTACTTAAAAAAAAGTAATGCATTAAAAATCTGGAGAAACAGCTAAAAAGATTGAAGTGACCACTAGAGGGAGCAAAACACGTGAAGAAAACGAAAACCAACACAGTAACGACACATTGCTGACAAAATAACATGTGTGGGGAAACCCACTCATATACAATAATATACAATGTAACTGTTTATATTAAATATTTAACAATAAGCCTTTTAATTACTTGAGTACCTTCTGAAGGTACTCAAGTAATTAAAAGGCTTGCTGAACCTTAGCCAGCCCTCGTGTATCTGAAGTGAGGAGAGGGGCTTCCTTCTTTGTCTTCCTGCTCTACCCTCCACATGAGGCAAAGCAGCTGAGGCTAGAAAGTGAGAAAGGTGAGAAACCTGAAAGGGGGAGAAAAGCCTGGAGGAGAGTAAGCTGGCCATGAGCACAGTGGAGTACATCATATCTCCATTGTGGCCAGCTTGTTTGCTTCTTGGGTGGCTTTGGTGTTGATGATAGTTTTACTCTCTTCTCTGGAGCCAGTTTGCTCTCCTTCCAGCAGTGGGGTTCCATTTCTAGCACAGCCCTTGCAGCTCAGGGAGACTTGCAGCTTACCCATCCTTCAGCCCCTCCAGCAGCCTCTGTTTCAAGGTGCAAACAACCTGTCAACAACAAGCCCTGCTGGAAAAAGGACTTGTCCACTTTGCTGAAACATGGTACAGGTGCCACATTGGGAAACAGTGCTCAGAACAGCCACACTTGGTATGTTGAAGAGTCATATGTGGCTTCCAAGCTACTGACATGGTCTAAGGCCATATCGGAGGCTTTATATAACGACTCAGATGTGACAGAATTTAAAACAGTGTTCTCCTCAAAATCGAATCTCAAATACAGGAATTTAGTTGACTTTAGTTCTTACACAGACAGCCATTTAGGAACTAGAATCCTGTTCATAGACTACAGAAGCTTGTGTTAAAGTCTCCAGTCATCCATCACTGGTGTCCTTGGGCAGTCTTTATTTCTCAGGCCAACCAATCTCAAATAAATGCTGTGAAGGTAAGTTGGGGTGAAACCATTTACCTTCTTTCTGGAGGAAACTGCAATATATGAAACATGTGCTTATACAATGAGAGAAGCCAGTAAATGTTTGGGATACTTCCCCAACAAAGAATTCCTCAGGAAGTCCCTGGCTTACAGAGCTCCATATGCACACCAAAGCCTATTCACAACCTTTTCTTTGAACTGCCATACAGGTTACATTTCATCAATTTTTTAATGGAATTTGAATTGTACCCATTATGAGATTCAAGAGTTTGAAAAGAGATTAAATAATCACTATATTCTATTCAGCGGAAATATTTTTGACGCGAAGATACAAACCGTAAAACAAATTTAGTGTTTTCCGTCTTGCCTGCTCCCGACTCTCCAGACACAATGATTGACTGACTCATCTTGAGCACTTTCATGTCACGAAATGCTTTATCAGCTGAGGTAAACAAGTAACAAGCCATTAAAATGGATTTGGAGGAGCATAACACAGATCAATGTTTTCATTAGCTTTTAAAACATTAGGTAATATTCTTGCATAACCATCATTTTAAGTAATGAAACAAAAATGATTTCTTTTAAATTACTCAGAAACATGTATTTACTGCCTAAAGAAATAAACGTACAATAAAATAAACAACCCCATGATGGGCAGGAAACAGCAGAAAGAGTTCTGACAATGCACTGGCAAGGACTGCTAGAACAGAAGAGCGACTGAATGCTTAGCTTTTGAAGTATTGCTTTTAGAAAAGTGTTAGTAAACTGCAGACAGTGTCATAGCAATATTGCGGGGCTTATCACTTCAGAAAACTATTGCACTAAAAGCTTGGTTATCGAGCACTTGATTTTCTAAGATGCTCAATTAACAGCATCATCCAGATGGCAAGTTCCTCAGCTTTAGCCTGAATCTTCACCTGAATCTTCAAACATGTATGCACCCCACTCCCACCCCACTGCTCCAGCCAGTCAGCTTGATGCTTCAAGACACTGGTGGACTTCTAACAGCCAGTGCTGTCAGGTAATATTATCCTCAGTTGCCTCCATCCCCATCAGCCTAACTCAAGCTGTTGGGACTGGGAGCCAGTGTCAGACTCTTGAACAAAGTTACTCTCAACAACACACTCTGGCAGTGATTTGTTTATTGAGAAATAAAGATGTTTCAAGCTAAGACTTCTGTATCAGAACTAAAGGAATATAGTTTTCCCTTAGGCATTTTGTGTCCTGGCAATATCTCGGTCACGCAGTCAGTCTTGTGGTGAGGGGGCAGTTCATCCGCCTCTTCCTCTTCAAAGTCCCTGGCCAAGTCTGTACTTGGGGGGATTGAGGTTCAGTTCTTCCTGTGCGATGCACACACACTCAGCCATGGGCTGGGGCACTTCCCCCCATTCTGGGTTCCAGGTGTGCTCCTTGCATCAGGGATCCAGGAAGCTCAGGGTCCCAACACTCCATTGAATTGCCTGGAGCCACGGACTCCCCAGGACCATTGGGAATTCAGCTGAGGGGTTTACTATGAATGAACACAGTTCCCAATGGAAGGTCACCCCCACTGGCAAGTGAACTCTGTGGTATCGACAGACCTCCCCTTTCATCAAGGTACTGTCCATCTGGGAGAACACTAGTGGCTCCTCTAGCTTGTGCACTTTGGCTCCCAAGTCCATCACCAAAGCTGGGCTAATCAAGTCCTAGGTACACCCAGAATCAATGAGGGCTCGTACTCTAATGTGGGTCCCTACCATGGGGTTTACCACCGTAACAGTCAGATAAAAAAGGTGGGAGGAGGTTCTCACTGATTCTGGTGCCAGAGACTTTCAGACCTGCCGTTCAGCACCCTTCACAGTGGGTCCTGGCCTTTTCCCACCAGCTGTGGTGGTTCCTCCTCACTGGATGAAGTGCCTTTGAGCTCTCCCCTCTCCCCCAACTGGAGGGCCTTGGTTGGTTTGGGGCAGCGACCCACAGGCTTGCTCTGCTTGTCCTTGTGGCCTTTTTCTTCGCTCCCCCAGGACACTTTTCATGTGGACCGGCAGCGGCAAAGTGGCCCAGGGCCCCACATCTTAAGCACAAAAACCAGTGAATCCTCTGCTCTCGGACACTCCTGGATCCTGGAGCTCGTGCCTGCAGGGTTCGGGACTTGCTGGGGCCCTTGGCGGGGGTCTTTGGGTGATACATCCACAGTAGATTGCATCGGTTCTCCACCTTGCACGCCACTTGAATCCAGCCATTTAGCGTCAGCAGATTGTTTTGGGTTAGGGCCTTGTCAAGTATGGTGTGATTAAACCCAGTGTGGTAAAATTCAATCAGCACTTCTCCAGGCCATCACTGGAATTTTGCAGCGTACGTCTTGAACTCGTCCAAGAAATGAACTGAGTGGCTCCCGTTTCAGGCCCCGGAGCCTGGTTCTTGCCCATTCCAACTCCAGGGGGTCCTCATGCTGCCTACAAAAGGCCCGCATGAAGGCATCCTTGTCACAGCGTTTCAGACCCCCAGCATGTACAGCCCCATGAACCAGTATGCTGCCCAATCCTACAGTTGAGACCCCACGTAGTCCACATGATGCTCATCCAAGGCGAAGGTGTGACCCCATTCCCTTAGGAAATTCTGCACCTGTAGCACGAAGAATGCCAACGTCTCCGGGGTCCCATCGAAAGTCGCTTCTAGCACGTCTCGTGGCTGCTCATGGCCTGGTACTGGTCCCTGTGGGGGTGCAGGGTGAGGCAGCAGTGTCTGGACTGGTGCCTGGTCAGAGGCCCTCTCCTTGGGGATGGGTCCTGATGGGGTTTCCCCTTCTTGGTCTTGCAGCTTCTGCTGCAGAATCTCCCAGATGGCCTCCGGGAGTTCTTCCAGGATCACCTGGGTATCTTGATGTAGCTCTTCTAGCTCCCCTTGGAATTCCATCAGGACCCTCTCGAGCCCCAGCTCCTTCATCATTGCTCCAACCACCTGCAGCCGCGCAGGGTCATCATGGAATGCTCTCAAGGTCTGTCTCCAGTCCAGGTCGGGCCAGTTTCTCCACACCTGGGGCCCCATGGTCAGCAACCAGTCAAGCCTGTCCCAGCGCACCTGGCTCTGTCAAGCATCCTTTGGCCTCACACCCCATTCTGGCAGTGCAGTCCCTTTCGTAGTATTGGTTGTAGTCTACTCCTCCTCTTTGGGACCCAAGGATCCATGCGTCAGGATCTCGGTCTGCGAGCCGGTTCCCTTCCAAATTTCCTTGCCTTTGTTGCCCATCACATCAGTGGCGTGATGGTCGGAGAGGAGTTCTTGGAGGCAGCTGCTAAGGTGTTCTCAATGGAGTGGGGGTTTGGTCACTGAACTCCTCTGGGTCAAGCAGAGTACTAATTACGTATCCTGCACATCTGTTTAAGCAGTTACCTCTATTACCCATGATAATGAAGTTTTATTCTACTTATTTCACCTGTGTTTAGGAAAGGCATCCTCCTTTATGAAACTGAATTTCTAATACGAAAACGCAGATAACCAAATACACAGTTTTTCCAGTTGGCAGATATCAGCAACATAGTACTTACCAATAGCATAGACATGAGGTGGCAATGTCCCAAGTGACCGACCTTGGTATTTTTTAATAGCATCTGAAGAATAAAGTTTAGGTATGTCAAAGTAAGGATTCACTGCTATCAGGATATTGGCGACATACGTCTGGGGGGGAAAAAAACAGCAGATGAACTTTCTGGATCATGCTACAGTGAGATAAGCAATTAACGTTACATCACATCTGCCTATTACCTCACAATGTTTGTGCACCACCTCAAGTCTAAAAGAAGTGCCCGGTAACTGACACAGGGTGTGGGGGGAGAAATTGCCCTTTATTGTGCTACCTTCTCTGGTACGGTCCCGGCTTAATATGGTGTTCCAGGCCAGCCTACTCAATGAGGGCTCCATCACTCACCTCCCCCCTCCCGTCAGGCATAAGCCGTCTGTCGGTGCCAGAGGAGCGATTGTGCAGCCCTAGCTCCGATGGCACAGTGGCCATCTTGGGGCTGTAGTTGGAGTGGAGACTCACCAGTGCCAACCAAGCGCGCAGCAGCAGCAGTGGTAGTGACAGCGGTAGGCCCGTGGACAACAGTGGGCAAGCCGGGGGAGAGTTTCCCCCTTCCTCTGAGCCCCCCCAACCAGCTGAAAATCGGGACAATGCAGCCGCGGGCAGCCGTGGGCTCACGGCGGCTACCGCCGGATTGCTGCAACATCGGCTGTTGCCAAGCGATACAAACCATGGCGGTGCTGCTGTGGGGAAGCCTGGCAGGAGGAGCGGAGATCGATGATGGAAAGTGGACCCCTATGCTGAATTATAAGAACTGGATGAGCAGGGGGGCCTTGAACGACCGAGGAGCGGAACTCACAGCCGGTGAGAGACTGGAGACTGGAGCGAGCGCCCCTAGTGGCTGGCCTATAATAACAACCTGCAGTGAAGCATGCTGCAGTTCTCCCTCCTTTCCCTGCAGATGTGGAACCAGAAAGAACCGAAGCTCTAAGGGGCATCCAGTAACTCCTGTATAGTGCTGATTGGGGAGGGGGGAGATTGGATGCAGAATAGTCTATTTCTTAGGGGGGAGGGCTGAGAGGCTTTAGCCAGCTAGGATACCGCCCTGCTAAAAGGTTGTAAATTATTGAGTACCGTGTGACTTGGTTGCTAGGTTGCTAGGTCGATGAATTTGGTAGTAATCTGTATATCAGTGGTAGTTTAGGATAGGTTGTCTCGGGCTTCATTAGTTAATGACTGCCTTGAGTTTTGATTAATTATATAGCAATCAATAGAGGTTAATATTTTATTTAGCAGGACGGCAGATAATTCAGCTTATCAGCATCAGCACCAGGAGTGGTAGCTGCTATCAGTGCTCACATAGGAAGATCAGCTCAGATAGCTAGCCCATCAGCGGTCTGAGGCCAATGCAAAGACTGGCTGGTGCGGCGATGCTTGGGCAACAGATTCCGGTGCTCCTGGGGAGCGGAAAGTACAGTGGTGGGCCCAGGCAAAGAGTCAACGGAAGGACGCTGAGAAATAGAATGGCTCGCTGCCCTTCCATTCTGAGACCCTTTGTCGGCAGTGGGGCTAGGATTGATAACCCCCCTCCAACATTGGTGCTGTGCAACGCCAGGTCTATAAATAATAAGGCCACAGTTCTTTGGGACTTCTTTCTGGAACAGAAGGCAGACCTGGCGTGCATGACCGAGACCTGGGTGCGGGACGGGGACACTGTAGATCTCTCCCAACTTGCCCCACCTGGGTTCTCAGTCCTACACCAATCACGGAAAAGGGGGCGGGGGGGAGGAGTAGCAATTTTCATTCGGGAGGCTTACTCCTTCAGGGCGCTCCCGCCGTTGGAGATCACAGGCATTGAATGCATTGGCCTGGTGCTGGAGGCCGATGAGAGTTTGGCAATCTGGCCTAACGCACTGGCTAGTAGCCTGCCATCTAACGCACTGGCCAGTAGCCTGCCATCCCTGATGGAGGCTTATCAGGCTGGGCGTTGGAGAACCCTAGACTGTTAAGTCTTGGGTGATTTCAATGTCCGCGCTGATGACGCAGCTTCCAGTCAGGCAGCGGACCTAGTGTTGTCCATGGCGGCACTGGGACTCTCCCAATTTGTAACAATCCCCTCGCACCGGGCCGGACACATGCTCGATCTAGTCTTTGCAGCTGGGTTGATAGTGGGCCGGATTGCTGCTTCAGCAGTACCATGGTCGGACCACTATGCCCTGAAGGCCCGTCTGAATGTTCCACCCCAACCCTGTTTAGGCGGCGAGCAGATTTTAGCTTGCCCGTGGAGCCAAATGGACCCTGTATGGCTTCAGGTGGCTCTGACGTATCCGATGCCCCCTGGTGGCTTGTTGGATGAGCTTGTAGAGGACTGGCATAGCCGACTCTCTACATCCATCGACGAGATCGCTCCCCGGCCCCTCTGCGTGCTTGCTCTAGGCTGGCTTCCTGGTATACCCAGGAGCTGCGGCTTATGAAGCGAGAGCTGAGACGGCTAGAGATGGTGGCGTCGTGCTTGCAAAGAGGCAACCAGAGCATCTTATAGGACATTTATGAGATCCTATGACAGGGCAGCCAATGCCACTAAGAGAGAATTCTATACGGCCGCAATTGCGGCTGCAATTGCATCCACGAGCTCGCACCCAGCCGAACTGTTTAGAACGATTCGGTCTTTAACAGCTCTGCCACAGGGCAGGCAAAATGCTAGGGAATTGGATTTTGGCTGTGAGGCATTTGCAAGCTATTTCGTGGATAAAGTTTTGGCACTCCGCCGCGACCTCCCAGCCACAGTTGAAAGTGAACTCGAGGCCCCTTGCATGTCTCCGATTCTGGGTTTGGATTGTTTTAGCCTGCTCAGCCTGGAGGAAGCTGACAGATTGCTCGTTTCTGTGCACCCAACCACATACAGCCTTGATCTGTGCCCTTCCTGGCTCATCAAAGCGGGCCATGAGGGGTTTCGAGGTGCCCTAAGGGAGACTGTCAGCAAGTCCCTCTCTGAGGGGCGGTTCCCAGGAGCATTCAAGGAAGCGATGGTCCGCCCTCTCCTGAAAAAAACAACCTTGGATCTGGCCGAATTGGCCAACTATCAGCCAGTTTCCAATTTGCACTATCTGGGCAAATTAATTGAGAGGGCAGTGACAAAACAGTTACAGGGTTTCCTGGATGACACTTCCATCCTAGATCCCTTCCTGTCTGGCTTTTGCCCAGTTCATGGGACGGAGACAGCGCTGGTCACCCTTACTGACGACCTCTGGAGGCATCTGGATCGAGGCGGTGTGGCAGTACTGTTGTTGTTAGATCTGTCAGCTGCGTTCGACATGATTTGACCACCAGTTGCTGACCCACCACCTCGCCGACGTGGGGATACAGATGCTTGCCTTACAGTGGCTTGCCTCTTTTTTCCCGGGGCGGGGACAAAGGGGGGGGCTAGGGGAACAGCAGTCCCGAAGACACCCGCTTGAATGCGGTGTGCCTCAGGGGGCAGTGCTTTCCCCAAAGTTGTTTAACATCTATATGCGCCCCCTTCCCAGACTGCCTGGAGGTATGGGCCAGGGTGTCATCAGTATGCTGATGTCATCAGTGTGCTGATGACACCCAGCTCTATCTGATGTTGGGTGGCTAGTCGAACTCCAGTCCAGAAGATCTGAACCGGGCATTGCAAGCCATGGCTGGTTGGCTCAGACTGAGCCAGTTGAAACTAAGCCCAGCAAAAATGGAGGTCCTGTGCCTGAGTCGGGGTGGTCTGGGGATGGGGATCCCTCTCCCGGCCTTTGACGGGGGGCCTCTGGTGCCGGCGCCAGAGGTTAGGAGTTTGGGAGTGCTCCTGGATCCCTCCTTAACTAGAGCCAGGTGGCAGCCACTGCCAGGTCAGCCTTTTACCATCTTTGGCTGATTTGGCAGTTGGTTCCCTTCCTCGACCACGATGACCTGGCTACAGCGATCCATGCGACGGCCACCTCAAGATTAGATTACTCTAATGCTCTCTACATGGGGCTGCCCTTGTCGCAGATCCGGAAGCTGCAGCTAGTGCAGAATGCTGTGGCCAGGGTCTTGGTGGGCCTCCCTAGATGGGAGCACATCCGGCCTGCGCCGAGAGCACTGGACTGGCTGCCAATAGCATACCAAATCCGCTTCAAGGTGCTGGTACTCACCTTTAAAGCCCTATATGGCCAGGGTCCGGCATACCTGAGGGACCGCCTTTTCCCACACATACCCCAGGGAGCACTGCGGTCAGGGTCACAACATCAGCTAGTGATTCCAGGCCCCAGGGAGGCCAGGCTCACTGTAACCAGGGTCAGGGCCTTCTCAGTGGAGGCTCCTACCTTGTGGAATGAGCTCCCAGAAGAGATCAGGGCCCTGCGGGACCTTTTACAGTTCCACAGGGTCATCAAGACGGAGCTATTCCGCCAGGCTTTTAATTAGGAGCCACCACTACCACTACCACCAGCTATTATCATTAGTAACAACAGGGTAGTGGGTTGGCCGTATATGAAGATCGAGCCATAACATTGCAATAGATCAATCACTGATGAATCGGGACCTTGTGTTACATTTATAGTACGCCATCTAAATGCGACTGAAGGACTAATATCACTGAGCCCTTTAATTGTAAAATACAGTTGTTTTTATCTTGTCCTATCTGTTTTTATATGCTTTTATATTTGGCACATGGTGCCCTAAACTGTGAGTCGCCCTGAGTCCATTCGTGGGGAGGGCAGGATAGAAATATAATGAAATAAAATAAAATAAAATAAAATAAATAAATAAATAAAACTGCAAGAATTTAAGGTACCCTTGAATCTGGAACCAATTCTAATGCACCTACCTTTAACAAGTTCAGCTATCAAAACTATGCTGAACTATTAAGAATCTGTTTTTGATTTTATACCAAAACCTCACTGAATCAATTTAAAGCCTGGAAATGAATGGCTCATTGAAAACAAACTAGGATTTAGTAACTGCATCAACATTGGGGGGGGGGGGGGATTTCAACATAATTGCCTATCAGTTTCTGCCATTCCTTTTAAAACTTTCTTCTTTCTATTTCACAGCTGTCATTTGCCAGAGCAGATGGCAAGGACTAAGTGTAATTTAGTCAGAATTCATTACATACAATCAGGCAATCTGATACCTACATAAAAGATTTAAGATGAACATCTGAGCTAGAAGGTGTCAGAGACAGCATGTGCTTAGTTTGTTCAAAAAAAGAGAAAGACATCCAACCTTGGTATTACTGTGCTTGAACTGTCAAAGCCATTTGCCTACAGGCATCAACATTAGATATATATTTTACATACCTGTACAATGTACACGTATATGTTCCATGTATGTAGCAAAGAGTGTACGCATAAAACATACATCAGTGATTTAAATTAATTCTAATAAGTTAGGATGAAATGGACTATTATGTCACAGTAAAAAAGAAAAAAATGGAAACCCAAGATAGCTCTTCACGTACATTCAAGATGTTTTACAGTACAACACCCGACCAATATTTCACAAACTAACACAATACTTACATAAATTCTGTCTTTATTGTATCGAACTTTTATATTATGTAGGAGTGTGGCTTCATTTAAATACATTAGAGAGCCTACAATAAAAAAAAGATAGTTTACAAAAAAGTAACACTTCCACCTGAGTTTTAGCAAGGAAACCACAAAACTACTTCTAAAAACTGAAAAAAGTCCCCATCGTACCACCGGGAGGGCATGAGAAATCAGACAGATTGGCCATATGTAGACGTTTACATGAGAAACCTCAATGAGTCTTATTAACAAATGCCAATACTGCTGTTGCCACTATAATTTTAAAAGCAGTACATACAGGTACATATTTGAGTTTAAAACAGCAGCTGAACAGGAGTATACATGGCTACTTGAGGTTTGATTTGAAACAAATACCTGAAAAACACACACTATTGTTTGAATGTTCGAAGAACAGGCAGAGGCAAATCAAGGAATAGACTGAATAATGCTAGGGAATCAGGTTCATTGGATGCTGCCAGTAATAGTAAAGGGTAAAGGTTTCCCTTGCTTAAAAGCCAGTCGAACCCGACTCTAGGGTTGTGGTGCCCATCTCCGTTTCCAGGAATGCAAGTCAATAAAGCTATATAATAAGACCATATATTAAGAATGGGCAAACCCCCTAGTTTGCAGAAATTCGCTTCAAAAAAATACGGTGGAGGGAGGGGTGTGCATTTGGATCTTCCCAAACAGAAAATATACCTGAAACATACCTAATCAGTATTTTTCAGGTATATTTCAGCTTCCCAAAGGTATCCAGGATTTTTTTAGAAAAACTGGGGGGGGGGGGGATCTTGAAAAAAATCCTGGAAATATTCGGGAATTACGGAGTAGATATGAAAAGCAGCGGAGTAGTGGGAAAGAATCCCCCCCAAATCCCAGCTATATTAGGGAATTACCGGGTAGATTAAAAGAACAGCGTTTAAATGGGATCCGAAGAGCTGGCGGGGAGCAGACTGCTCCCGGCTAGCTCACCTTCAGGTGTGCAATTTTTAACTTTTTTTTTTCCTTCTCAGGTCTATTGGACCCAGAAAAAAAACCCTGGCATTTCTGAAAAATCCTGGATCCGAATACTGTACCAGTATTGGGATCCAGGATTTTTCAGGAATCCCAATTTTTTTTTGATGCAGTAGACCCAAACCAAAAAATCCTGGGTGGGTGGGGATACACACCCTTAGTAGGACAGTTGAAATTTGTCCAAATCAGAGAATGCTAAGATCTCACAGGATCACAGTCACCACTGTGGGATTGCCTAGCAACCAATGCACTGGAGCCCTGGCGTAGACAATCCTGTCAACAGTGGGAGGGGCAGGAACACGAAGTAGTGAGCAGGACAAAGCAAAGGCCAGGAAGACAAAGAGTGTAAAAAATGTGGGGAGGGGGTGTCAGAAAAAAAATAGCAAGAGAACAAAACCAGGACTGTGTGCAGAAAAGTCTGTAAAGAGATGGAAAGGAAAACCAGGACTGTGTGGAGAAAAGGCTAAAGAAAGGGAAGAAAAACCTGAGGGGAGATTCTAAAGAAAAAAAGAGTGGAAAAACCTGGAAGGGAGACTGGGGAGAAACGCAAGAAATGAAAATGGTGGGATAGATTAATAAAAGCCTACAAAGTGAAAAAGTGCAGTGTGGGGAGAAACACTGGGAGTGTAGGGAGAGGGAAACTGGAAGCCTGAGAAGACAGAAGGTGGGGGACTCTGTGGAGGCACAGGATTTTTCTCCCTTGTGAGTTCTGTTGGCTCCCAGCTTGTTCTACTTTAACATCAAAGCACTGTACAATGCTCAAAACAACTTCCTCAATTGGCTGTCTTCTGTTCCAAATAGTAGTCCAATCAAATATAGTAAAATGAATGTATTATTTTTCTCCCAGGATAATAGATCTTCCATTTTTTTTCTCCAGGCTTGAGTATCGCCTATCTATGGCTCAATATTACATATGTGTACTCAGATACAACCAAACAGAATATATATCCAAAAATACCTTATTGGTGTTTTCTACATATAATCAGGTCTCCCATATAATCAGGTCAAGATTTTTCAGGATACCAAAAAATGGGTCCTGAAAAATCCCATAAATATTAGGGATTAACTGTGAATATTTCGAGCAGGGGTTTGCAGGGTCCCAGGACTGCCCCCCCCCCCCGTGTTTTGGTGTCTCCTGGGACTTGGTATTGGCTTGCCAGGCTAGTTTAGATGATATTCTGTCAGTTTCAAGTGTTATTGTTCTTTGTTGGAGTTCCTTTGTGTCAGGTTTATGGCTTTGTTGTGGATTCTCACATTTTATCCAGGTCAACATTCTTGAGTTTTACATAATTTCTGATTCTAGAGTTTTACATAGCTTGGGCTTAGCAATAGCTTGCAATAGCCTGCCTAGGGAGGGGAGATCTTTGGCTGAACTAAAATATGGGATGAGAAATGAATTGCTTTTCAATCTAAACAGATTGTAGGCCTGTCTATGCAGTACCCCCTCTGCAATCCCTGCATCCAGTGATACTGGGAGTAGGGCTCACGGTCAGATGCTGCTTTATGTAAGGTCTCGGTTCCACATTCAGGGGTATACGGTACTTAATTCAGATAGGATTTATTTCTGTTCAGATGTTACAGGTACACAAAGCAAACAAGTTTGACCCTATGACCAGTTCTTGATCTCTCCTGAAATCTCTCTGTGTGGCAAAGGAGTACTGTTTCCATGGGCCCCATGCATATTTCGCAAAAATTAGAGACTTGAAAATAGAAATAATTCTCAACCCAATTTTATATGCTATGACTTACAGTTATCCTCCACAACCTTCTTGCTGTCTTCCTCTGCAGGGAATACTTGGTTGATAGCAGCGAGGAATGTCTAGCATTTAGGGGGTGAAAAAAAGGATTCTATTGAACCACGCAAATTAAAATATTTTACAGGCAAGCTATGATAAGAATAAGACTGCAAACAGAACATAAAAACAGGCTTATTCTTCGTCAGTTTTATTCACAAGATTTTTCCTAATGGGCACAGACAAAACCTTACCACACCAACTGACAGACAATTTGGGGGGAAGAGTTTGGTTTACTCTCACATTTTGATGCATTTTGAAGAGGGCTACTTCTTCTATAGTTCAAGAGCTAGCCATGTTAGATCTGTTGAAAGACTGAACAGGAGCTCAGCAGCACTTTTAAAACTAAAAAGAGAGATTCCAACAGAATCAGAACTCACTCTATCAGGTGCACAAATTGTACATCCATCATACAGAGACATTTATATTTAAAGCTACAAATAAAAAAAGGCAAGAGATAGTTTTTAAAAATGCAGGGCCAAACAAAAGAGCAATCTCATCTATTCTGAGTGGATTAGTCCACTCTCAACTGCTCATAGACAAACAAAATGAGTGGACTTTGTGTACCTGATTGTAGCCATAACCCAACTGCAACCATGCATCAACAGTTGGAAGTGATCATCATTCACTCTCAGTAGATTGATTACTCTGTTTCACTGGGTCTTGTTTGAAAATGGCTTTTCTTTGTGATACCTCTCCTCTGCCACCTTCTGCTGTTTGCAGTTTAAAGTATAAATACCTCCCCAATAGATGTACATTTCATGCATCTGATGGACTTCTAACCATGAAAGCTTATGATGGAATAAATGTTGCTACAGGCTTTAATGTTGGCAAAGTGCCTATGGAGCAGTCAGGACACTGAACGGATTAAAAGCAACAAAAGCTTTATTTATGGAACTAACAAACCGGATATGGAAGAAAAGAGATAAACCTAGCTGCCTTACCTTCTGAGAAAGGATTCTACACTGCTTTAGAAGAAAAGCCTAAGATTAAGAAAAGTCTAAGAGTAGCATTCTGCAGACAGTCAAGGAGAAGCCCCTTTTAGAAAGAAGGTACCCCCCTACAGTGTTGTCTAGCTAGATCTTGCTGCCCCTTGCAGGAAGTTCCTTCTTTCTTCTTTGTACACAAAAAATTGCTATATTCCAATTTTTAGGGTGATAGTTCTGTCTTCAAAGTTTACTAAAGTAAAACCTAAGTCCATTACTTTTCAAAAGTTCTTTGGGACATGCCAGGAACTCAGTTCACTAGTCAGTGATTATTTGTAGTCACAGCCTACTCCTCTGGTCAACTAAGTCAAAATTTGCCCATTCCCAGATCTAAACACCTGTGGGCAGTGTTCCCTCTAAGCTGAGTTAGTATGAGCTAGCTCATAGTTTTTTAGCCTCCAGTTCACACATTTTTTGTCTTAGCTCAGGAAGGATGGCTCCAAGGCAAACTGATTTATGCAGTAGCCAAACTGCGTGCTCATAAAGTTGAATTTTTGCTCACAAGACTCCACAGTTTAGAGGGAGCATTGCCTGTGGGTGCAGTTTTCTGGAATGGCTTATCAGAGTGGGTGCAGAGGGCACCACTCAGTGCATTTAGGCGGGCACATAAGACTAATTTCAGAAAGCATTTGATAAGAGTTTAAACTATTTTGTCGGATACGACTGTAGTTTTTGTGCACTGTTTTATCTTGGTCGATTTCTATGCTATTTTGGTGTCCCTGCAACTTGTCACTCCTCTCTTAACTGCCTGAAGTACGAGGTGATAAAACAGGATATAAATATTGGGATGGATCCTGTCCTTACACTACTACTCCACTGAGAAAATTTGAAGAAAGCTATCTGCATACCATTTTAATGATTAGTATGAAGAAAGAGAGAGAGAGAGAGAGAGAGAGAGAGAGAGAGAGAGAGAGAGAGAGAGAGAGAGAAGGCAGAACAGTCCACACACTAAGACTGATCATTGCATGTGTCAAGTCAAAGAAAACAGACAAAGAACAGGACAGAAAGTTCACGTACAACTTTGCAAGCACACTGGAATCACTAAACCAAACTGTATTTTCTAAAAGCAAGCACTACCTATGCATTATACATTAGACAACACGGCCATATGTTTGAGACTAAAACCCTTAAAGAGGATCAGTTTTAACCAGAAGAAAGCAGATTAGATGGCCTCTTAACTCATGATAAACTGCAGAGACAGTTAATCCAGCACCCTTTGCATATTTTCCCCATTTTTACATGTTACCTGGATTAGATCTGTACTTTAAGTATCAGTTGTCATACTTACATACATATAAATGTATACACGATTCTCTATCACAGTTTTAAAAGCATCTAAATCAAGAGTGTCAAACATGCAGTCTGACGGCAGGATCAGGCCCCAGAGGACTTCTATCAGGCCTGCAATGGAATTGGCCATCTCCTGCTTCCAGTTCTACTGCTGCTGCTGCTGCTGCTGCATCATAGCTTGCTTCACCAGACTCTCTCATTCGCTCAGCCATTTCATGTTTTAACCTGGGTCCTAGACTCAGAACTCTGAGCATGAGATTTCTCTGGTGAATGTCAATAAATCAAAAGTAGGTTTGCAGCTTACCGATACACACTTGAACAGCATATTCAAGATTGCAACAACACAGACATCTTGATGCAATAATTCAGAGCAAGAAGTGTCAGTTATCAGACACTGTTAAACAAAATATTGCAAGAGTGATGTTTTAAACATGTTTTTATTTTAAGTAAAAAAAAATCTTTGTTTGTGTCCTTTATAAAGTTTATATCTCTGCTACCTGACATTACGTTTTATGACACACGTGGCCCCGCCCAACAAGGTCTCATTTATGTCAGATCCGGACCGCATAACAAATGAATTTGACACCCCTGATCTAAATAGTGCTATAAACAAGTAGGCTTAGGATCCTGGAGAGATATATACAGTATTATATATGTTAATGAGCAGAAGGAAAAAGTGAGTTGTTTAAGAGTGATCAGTTATATGTTTTGGCCTCTTCTTCAGTAACAGTTAACTTTTAAATGGAACACTGGAACCCAAGGTGAATCGGAATTCTCAGGAGAGTGACAGACTGTTAGAGCTTCTTTGCCACAGTTTGTGATATCTGGTGTGCAGCTCTGCAGTAGTTTCTCTAATGTAATATATGTGGCATTAAATTGTAGTCAATAACATATAGTTACATTGTTAAGACCCGCAGGTGATGTTTGATAAAAAGATCTTGCCACAGCTTTTAAGAGGCAGCCGTTTCCCTAAGATAGTTAAGTAGTATAGTAAATGGATTCACAGTTACGTGAACTGGTGATTTTATGTCTGTTCTCACACTTCATTTACATTATTTATAGTCTGCCTTTCTCATCGAGACTCAAGGCAGATTGTATAGCGTAAGTCAATGCAATCAATAGGATGGGGCATCCAATAAGCAATGTAATAGGATTTGGCTTGCAGAAATCTAAAACTAAGCAAAAAATTTGAAACATAGTGGAAGTATTAACACAACATGTTAAACAACACAGAAATTACACAGAAGGGTATTACATACAACCAAACAGGTATCTGAATGTTGACTCTCTAAAGCTTATGCTGCCAAAATCTTGGTGGTCTCGAAGGTGCCACTGGACTCAAATCTAGCTGTTCTACTGCAGACCAACACAGACATCCTTTGAAACTATTAAACTCACTGGGAGTTAAATCAGAACTCTGTTAGCCCTGCAGCAATTTAGGAACAACCCTTGCCCAATTACATCCTTTGTATCAGAGAACTGCTTCCAAATATACTTTCATTAATATTACAGTTGCATGCTATAAAAACTGATTTTAGTGTGAAACAGGAAATATGACTACCCTGTTTCCCCGAAAATAAGACCTACCCCCAAAATAAGCCCTAGCAGGATTTCTATGCATTTGTGGTATAAGCCCTAGTGTGTCTTCTTGAGAAAAAATAAATATAAGACAGTGTCTTATTTTCGGGGAAACACGGTATACTTAACTCTGTTACATGGCATGAGACAAAGTAACCAGTTATGCTGAACCTGGAGAGTTTTTCAGCAAGCAAACTTTTACTAACCAGGATACACCTCTGCTGTGTCACCCAGAAGAATCGAGAGGCAGTCAGCAACTACTGGAACTACAGATGTTTCAATGTTAAATCAGAAAACATCCACCACAGAACATTGTGCATTTTATCCTGCCACCATCTCCTATGCCAACCCAGAATATACATTTTGAAATGAACACAGAATTCTGTTGGCAGACTGCCCAGAAGCTGCTTACTTTAATAAATAAAAAATTACTTCTGAGAATATTACAAGTTCCTATTCCTTTGAAATACATTTTAGAGGATCCTAAGAAATCAGATGGCGCTCCTTTAGTTTTTCTGTATTTCAATGACATTGTGAAATACTTCCTCAAGGCTATTTTTAAGGTACTGAAGCACAACCTGAAACATTCTATGTTCCCATTCTTACAGAAAATAATAAGATACATAGTTTGACTTTGCACGTGACTTTCCCAAGCAAAAAGCACCAACTTCCTTATCGGTCTTTTCCTTAGAGGTACACCTAGTTTCCTCAGAAGAGGGAAATCTGCTGCAGCACCTCTTGACCTGCCTCTAAGCATTTCCTTCAACCAGAAAGAGAAGTCCGAATTTTTATTTGTTTAGGACTTTTCATACAATGCAAGTTCTACAATTAAATACTGGACTTGTTTAAGGATCACAACCTTTCTTATATGAATTCATGGATTCTTCATTCCCTCTCCCCCCTCCACTGCTTTTGCAGTTGGTTATCAGGGTTAGTTGCAGCCTTGTTTCTTTTTGTATATTTTGGGACACTCTTGATCAACTAGCAAGCACAAGAGGAGTTTTCATGTACTGATGTTATACTAGCACTAGCCCTGTTCTATGTCTCTGACTGCAGCACAGTAACAAAAAAAGCAATCCCTTTAAATAGCTTCAATTCTTGTAGGATAAGGAGTGGGGTGGTGGTGGTTAGGAAGCCTTTTTCCTTCAAAGTAGTTTTATGTACATCGTCAC